AATTATTCCATGAGCTGTCGAAAAATATTAACATACTCACCGCTTTTTGACAGAGCAGCAGCGCTCTTATCCACTCATACGTGAAACTGAAACATACATCTAATTTACCCGCATAGAGGCGCTGTGAGGAAGCACAAACTGCATTTCATCAACAAAACAATTGTTGTAAATGAATAAACGATAAGTAAAAGAGGAGTGAACGACTGCTGTAATACTGCCAGGTTTCATTAGCTACAGAAAAAACGGTGTTTGAAGTTTAATTGTAATACCAAATGACACTGTGTGGAATATGAACCAACACTGTAGTTGTAGTAGTAGTAGTAGTAGTAGTAATAATAATATAAATGAGAAATGTAAAAGACACAACTTTAAACTTATTATGATAAAATCCGACGTCAGCGCTTGCTGAATATATAGGACAAATTGGATACACCTGCTGGCTGCCATTTGATTGCATTAACGTGGAGCTCTGGAAACAAGCATGACACCTATAAATCTGAAGTAAAACACTTTAACGACAGAGTTAGTCGCTCTCGCTATATGCACATTTGAGTCCACTTTGTCACTTTCACATCTAAGGTTAGTTAAATTTGTTGTTGCTACATTTCGACAGTATAAATAGCATGCTTATCCATTTTTAAGTTATCTAGCCCTTTCCTGGTATTGTTTGTTTGGTCTAATCTATCATGCTTGTAAGTGTGCCACGTTTTTTTTTTTTTTCATTTTACAGTATTGCGGTGTTTTGTATCCTGTGCTGTCTTTCTTCGTCTCTTCACAAGAAATGGAAGGTAACCTTCTCAAACCATGACCTTGCTAGCACCTTGCTCTAGCCTATTGTTTGGGCAAACAACTGTGCAAAAAAAATAAAATTTAAAAAAAAATATCTTTCAAATGCTTTTTTTTTTTCTTATTTCTTCCAGGAATGAATAACACTTCACAATCAATGGGAGTTGGGCAACCTCACCATCCAGTAAACCACACCAGACCCTTTTTCTATGTTCAGCCACCATCTCAGCCTTATTTCATGTATCAATGGCCCATGAATCCATATGGCCACTATGGCTTTCCAGGGCCAGGTAAGTTTAGTCTTTGAGATATTGCTTATTGTAGACTTTCATTTGATTTAATCGCAACAATTTATTTTTCTCTGTTCCAGCTTTGCACTTTGGCCGTCCCTACATGGCCCCTTATCAGTTTATGCAGTATCCTGGGTATGTGATCCCACATGCACCCATGCAGCCAGTTGATTACAGAAGAATCAACCCCCACTTCCCCTCTGTTGCATCCTACGATTTGCGTGTCCGCCAGCACTTTCAACACGCAGGGATGCATCGGGAGACTGCCTGTTCTGAGGTCCAAACAGATCCTAGTGATTCAGTCAACAAACTGATAGACAAAATTGAGAGTCTGAAGGCTTGTGAACAAGGTGGTGACAAGGGGCTTAACACTGTGGTCTCCTCTACTCCTGATGTAGTGCAGGGAGAGAAACTGACTGGTTTAAAAGACTCCAAGTTAGAGCTTGCCTCTCAGGAAGGTAAGGAGGAGCAGGTTAATCAGGTCACAAGGCCTGCCACCTACAGTGACTCTGCATATGATGCCGAATCTAGCCAGGGTAGACTGGACGAATGCGTGTTATCGGATGTGCTACCCCTTGACAGTTCTTCTGTCCACGAGGAAGAGGATGCCAATGAGAACGATGAGCAACAGAGTGTTTCTGAAGCACTGTGCTGCCAAAGTGGAACGTCAATAACCAATGCAACTGGTAATGTGTTCTGTAGTGGTATCAAAAGCACTGCTGATCCAACAGAGAACCTAGATTTGGAGAAACCAGGTGATGAGCAGGAACAGAATATTGCGTCTATTGATGCTGCTACAGTTATGGAGCCTCTTATAATGCTCTCTGAAGACTTTGACCTGCAGTATCAAATCCTTCGCCTGCCTTGCAATAAGACAACAACTGGCCTCAGTCTTGAACAAGAGATTGACCCACTTGTTTACTTCGGTTCTCCAACTACTCTGTTGCCTCCACAAAACTATCTGTCCTCAGTTGGCAGTGCATATTCCTACAGCTACTACCCTCAAGTGACCCAAGAGCGCCAGAGTGTCCTGAGTCCATCCATAGATGAGCTCTCTTCCAGGGATGAAATGTTCTCCACTGATGTGGAGGATCTCGATCTCGTTCCGGGGCATGTGTATGTTGGTGGTGGCAAGCTGGCCGAAACCAGTGATGTCCCCGTTCGCTCCAGAAAAGAGCTCTTGAGCATGGAAAAAGCTTGCCGTGTCTACCAGAAAACGTGTGTGTGCTGCGGCTCAAGCTTGCAGGATGAGGTAGGAATTTGCAAAATGGCAGAACGCAGCCATCCTGAGAGAGATGAGTCTGATCAAGACTGCGAGTATGACCTCGATGCAGAGGTGCGGAGTAACTGTGAGTCACCGAGAGTGTCCAAGAGGAAGTGTTGCAGCAGGCATGCGCTGTCCTCTTGTGGGCATCACTGTGCCAAACACTGGCATCGGAAGCTGCTCTGTGAAGGCCAAGAGAGCTATGATCTACGCGAGCAGGCTCGTATGCATCCCAAAGGAGAGTGCTGTGAGGAGTATGGCTCTCTGGCTAAAGCAGATAAGCGAACTCAAAAGGGTGCCTTGTGCAGGCCATGTGTTGGTAAGGGTTTATTTTTTGAATTTGCATTTTAATGCTGCCTCAAGGTGGTCAGCTCATGCAGAAATAATTTTTAGAACAATGGAGAGAGGGTGTCGTCTCTGACCAAGAGAATTGGGCAAGCTGTGGTGCCAAACCAAGGGCTTGGCGGCAAGTTGGTGGACCTCAAGATCAAGGTAGGACATTGATTTTTGTTTAGTTTTTTTTTTGGGGGGGGGGGGGGTTTGCCTACTTGGACGTGTGAAGTCTTTTGAAGTTGTGGAATGCAAGTGTCAAGTATGGCTTGTCTTTTTAAATGGTGTTCTTTTTTTATTTGTAAAGGGAGAACTCCATTGAGAAGGCCGACTTGTAAGGCAGTCCACCAGCAAAGGCCAAGAAGTGAATATGATGAGACTGGCTTTACCTACTGCCAGAGAGGCAGAGGTGAGTTTAGGGTTTTAAACAAGTTAAGTCCCGTTCACACCAAGAACGATAGTTCTAATAGTCTCTCGATATTAAAGAACAGTCTACGTCACAGCTATGACAAAGGCACAAAGAAACCATATAATTGGAATCACTTTCAGAACGATTTTTTTTTACCCAGCTTATGAACAAACACTGACACCCAATCAGAATCCATCCTGCTATAACAAGCTTGAATTTAAAGCTGCAGACAAGCATGTGCTTGGAATAAACAGAATCTTGTCTGCTGATGTGGACTCTAATCTTTTATGGTTATCGTTCTTGGTGTGAATGGGGCTTTAATCACCACTTTTGATTCTCGTCTTTATTTGTGCAATATCTTTGTCCCATCAGGTGCTACGAAGAAAAGAGGCGCACGATACTAAACCACGATGCACTGCTGTAATACTTAAATGTATTACCCGAAACTTGTGTAAAATGCACTTCACTATGAATGTACACATGGACACTGTTCTTGACTGTATGTAACTTTAAAAAAAAAAAAGTATGGCAGTGATGTACACCTTGCTGCATTTTCAGTGCTCAAGTTAACTTTCTATTTTGGGTGCAATGCATTCATCTTAATATAATACTGAGACTGCTCTCATTGGACCAGGCCTTGACCTATGCCTAGAAAGCCTTTTTCTCATGTGGCTGAATCTGGGAGGTATGGCTCTTGTCTGGTGTACAAGGACTCAGAATCTTCGCGTGGTCAAGGACTGGCCCACTTCGACCGGTTTCAAATGTTGGGCACTGGAGATACAGCTGGTTTATGGGTGATGCAGGGGAAAAAAAGTGGACAGTTTGGCCACTTAGTCCAGATGTCTTTTGTTTTTATTACTGTGCTATTTTTATACATCGGTGTAATGTTGACATGCAGAAACCTTCACCTTGCTGTACAGTGTTATTGTGTCATTAAAGCCTCAGCGTTGCACTTGACCTGTATCCAGTGTTTTTTTTTCTTTTTTTCTCCCCATCTGCCCTCCCCTTTCTTTTAAGGGGGGGGGGGGGGGGGGGGGGGCACTAGGGTGCATTTGTTTGTTGCTGTTGTCCATGTGTTTTTAATTTGCAAGGGGCAAATCATTAGTGTGGGCTTGTCATGATTCCAGCATATCAGTTGGTGGTGAACTTCAAAACAGAACCCCTAGCACTAGGTTTTTCACCACTGTCCGCCTTTGCCCAAATACAGTGAAAAGGGGGGCCTTTTTTTTCTTAATCTGTACTGTAATTATTTTGTGTTTTTTACTTCTAATTCTTAAAAGACTGACTATATTTGGAGTTGAGACTGACTAATATATATATGGGGTTAAAAAATATTAGCCCAGATGTCACAAGTTTATCAGATTCTCCATCTGATTTATTTCAGCATTGCAATTGTCACTGAATGACAGCTTTGACATTTAAGAAGTTGGTTTGATGGCTTCTAAATGTAATCTGATTTTGCCTAGAGGAATTGTATAGAAATGGATAAACAAGTAATGCAATACTGTTCAACAATTCGCAAAATAAGTTTACTTCTAACAGCATTGTGAGCATCTGCACTGGTTCACCGTACAGTTAATCCCTTCAATTCTATAAATCCTACTTTTAGCGCTCATAAAAATATGCTAAAATCAACAGTTGTTTTTTTCTGTAATGTTTACTTAAATTGAGGATTACGTGTCAAGAGTTTGTTTGTTGTAGGCTACTTATCTTGCAAGGCAAGTACGTATTTGTTTTGTAACAAATATAATCCACCTTCAAACGACTAAACGTTTAGACCTGAATAGCGCTTGTTAAGGGGCGTGGCAAAATGATTAGCGGGCTTCTCTATTGGCTGTTCTCTTCGCAGACGTCGCTCGCTATTGGCTGCGCTGAGGGAGTAGCAGAGAGCGTTTACAGTACAGCCTTTGAAGAAGGCAGAGGGAAGTATGACAGATGAGGCTGATCCGCACGCGATGATCACCGTTTGCATAGATGAAAACACCTCTCGATATACAAGGTGAGTTTCCCCCCACTATTTTCAAAGAAACGGGTGAAACTGCTTGGCTTTCCTATTTGTGCATTCGCATCAAAGTTGTTCTGAGATTTTATACCTTGTAAACAGCAAACAAAAAAACCTGTTTGGATCAGTTTTTGTTCCGTTGCATCGATGCATATTTGCTGCATTACGTTTCAACCGCGGTTTTGTAACCTGCGCTGAGCGTGTAACTTTATTGGAGCACATCTGTTCAAAGCAAGTTCAGCCTCTGTACCAACCAACCCATCAAGTTTTGTATTGTGCTTTACTGTGTTTTGTTGTGTTATGCATCAGTGCAGTACGGAAGGAGCCTGCTCTTTTACATTGCAGCAGGATTCTTTTGGGCAGCTTTTTTCTCTGTTCCGGTTTAAGTCGTTTTGATTGTTTAGAGACACGCGACAATGGCCGCGTGTCAAAATCTAGTGAGCTACCTAACTAGACAGCATTTCTGGGGGACATAGGCGTGCTGGATACCCAGAAATGTAAGCAGCTTGCTAGGTTTTGAGACGCAGCCAATGGCAACTATTCTAAATATGCCTGTCTTTGAAAACAGACGTGCCCTGATAATGCCTGTACATGTCACGCAACCCAAAATATTTGGGTTATCTTTATGAATCCCAAACCTTAGCTCACAGGGTCTGTTTATGTGTCATGCAACCTTTTAGTCATTCAAGGTTGTTTGTCTTTACTGTGTCCTTGTGACTTAATTAGTAAATTCCACAGATATTATCTTATCTCATCTCAGTGCTTTGCTATCAGACAACTGCTTGATCCAATCAGCATTTGAGTTGCCTTTTCTCTATACATTTGGTTTTATTATTAACATGGGTTTGTGTTGATGCTCGGCATGCACTTTAATCACTGTAAGGCTGATGATACATGGGGCAACGTTTTGAGCAATTTTGACGGGCAACTTTTTTTGAGCAATGTTGCTTGGGCATTTTCCCATTGAAAATGGGTAACATATGTCTATCTGGATACTTTAGATCGGTCGTGGGCCCTGTGTCTCACCTGGTTGCCTATTGACGGCAACATTGCCCAAAGTTGCCTGGCAACATTGCTCAAAAAGTTGCCCCGTGTGTCACCAGCATAAGAGTTCTGTTAATTTAACACGCGTTCAGACAGCGTTTCAGTACAAGTTAAAAGCTTATCTGCTTCCTGTCGCAAACACACCCCGTTCAGCCGAAGTTCGTTGTGTGTTTCATTTAAAAAATAAACATATGAAGATCTATGTGACTTTGCCGCATAAATTGTGTCGCCCTGGGATGTTTCACATTTCAGCATTGTTTATGCAGGTTAACGTTGGAGATGGTGAGTTGTAACACCAACATCCCACAGGCATTTTACATGAACAGCATGAAAAAAAGGCATCAAAAAGTAAAGGCCAAGGGCATGCATGAATAGCGCCCCTCCTCACCTGCTCAAGTCAGCACATTGCCCTTGAGAAATGCCTCAAGGCCTCAGTTTTTAAGTGATGTTTTTCATTTTCCCCCTTTTCTTTACCCCCTTTCTGACAAATCAAATCCCCTGATTCAGCTGCATCCATCAGGTTGATGCTCCGCTATAGCGCACAGCTAACAGTTTCTTATCTGCTTGTTTCATTGTCATAGTTTTCGGGACGTCGGACCGAAGATTGACCCTCAGTGAAGCTTCCACCATGGGATTTGGGCGTTGTTTCACATTTGATAATATGTTGTTAGGCACATCTAGTGTACCAATCCCATTGTATTTCTTTAGTCATGCGCTTAATCCTCAGTTGTTTTAAAGTTAAAAGTAAAAAAAAAAAAAAGCAAAAATTTCCAGCCCGGGTAGAAAATATGCCAAGTGAAAGCCAGCTTGCTCAGCATAGAATGAAAGATTGATGCCAGTACAAAAGTGAGAACTCAAAGGACATGTTCTCAAGGTTACACCTTCTCAAATATTTCATATGATTTAGTAAATGTGCCCACAGGACGTTTAATAGATTGGCACGTTTTCTCCCCTGTGTGCCGTACCAGAATTACTGAAGGAAATTATGCAATGTGAAATTGAGCTGGAATGGTTTTCATGGTAACTGAAATCCTATGAGAAGCACACAAATTCTCCATAACAGAGATCTGGATTCGCAGCATCCACACTGGTTTCATTTTCAATGCACTTTTTTCATTTGTAATGACACCAATTTGATGAGCATGAAATAATCATGTCTTCAAACGATGAACTGGTCTCATTTAGCAAAAAAAAGTTTTTGTAAAGCCCCTTAGATTTATTAGTAAATTAAAAAGTATTCATGTCTAGAAGTCTCTAAACTGTCTATGAGATTGCTGTAATGCGTTTTGATTGGAAGTCCCAAAGAGAAGGGAAATATTTCCGCTTCTCTATCACAAGATAATGTGCACCTAATAATGGATAAGCCCTCAGGGGCATCTGTCCATTCATGCTATAATAGCAGGCTTAATTGCATTATTAATTATTTTTCCCCTCTAGGGATGGAGTGGAATTATACGTATATGAGCAATTATTACATGGTATAAACCTTTGAACGTGAAAGAGAAGAGCGCAATGCGATAACTGTTTTGTTTTGCATGTCATGGTCACATGAGCAAATTATGATGTTATGGCTGTAAGTGTAACAACAGGAAGTCTGGAGTGAGGCTTATGCTGAAAATGTGGCCACAAGTCATTTAACTCTAACTTAGTCACTTGATAAGTGTTCATTCTTTTCTCAGGTGATTGACGTGTAGTACCAGCACACTTCATTTCGCCTTGAGTATTTCTCCGTGACAAGCATTGAGCCAAGCAATTAAAATGCATATTAGCTGTACAGTACCTGAAGGAAACAAATGCCCTCAAATAAATTTTAGATGAGGTTAGGAAATATTTTTAAGCTCTGAATTGGTTAAGGTCAGAAGGAAGCTTGAGTGCTGGAGGGGTTTTGAACTCCCATTCATTGGTCAGCTTCATGCATGCTAATAGTCATGTGTCATGCAGGTTTCAGAAATTGTGCCTACGGGATCGAATTCACTAGGTCATATTTTGCTGTTACTTGTAAGGGGAAGTTTTTCATCCAGTGAAAATGTGTACTATCATTGTGTGGCCAAACTGGCCATATAAACACTCTTAAGTGGATTACACTGCCCATTGAGTAAAACAGCATTTTATGGCAATGAAGCAACCCTGATTACAAGGTTATGTTGTTAACCGAAAACAATAATAATGTATTTTATCATAAATATTAAACCGTATATTTGAAGACAAAACAAACATAAGAGGGATAAAAAGCAGAGCAAAAGAGCACAAAGGACACAGATCAGCAGTCAGGAGAGGAGGAGTACTAGATGTGTCATTGGCAAGTTCACACCCTTATCATGATCATGTGTTTAGGAATAACTTGTCTTGCTCAGACTGAGAGATGCACAAAGTGATAAGCATTTCTCAGGAAAAACATGTTTTTTATTTCTTCATGTTGCATCAACTTGAATGTATCATACAGCAAAAATGTATCCATTCTGAAAAAAAATAATAATAAAAAATAATTCTGGCTAAAATCTGCTTAAATATGTGTTGTTAACAGCGCAGATTTTTCAAACTGAAATGATTTGAAATCTTCAAATGCCAAAATATACTTCAAGCGGCAGAAAGTACATTTCCAATCTTGAAATACAATTTGAGCAAATGCAAAATGTTTTTAAAAATACAGTTTGAGAATGATAAATTTAGACAAAGTATATGGAAAAACAATTAATAAGAAATAGAAGTAACTAAAACTACATGTATTTATGTAAATATTTTTTTATCATTTACCGTATAGCAATATATTTTGTTTATTTTGAAATATTTGAAGTCTGAAAAAATTCTGTACGGTATGGAAATAAAGATTGTACATGTTGGTGAATTGCCAATGTAAAAAAACATGATTATTGTTTGGCTTATGATTAAATGAATTAAATAAATCGGTAAAATAATTGTAGCTGTGGTGGGAAGTGTGTCGGATGCATTTTTTTTTTTACAAGCTATGAGAATGTGTATGATTAGAAAATGGTAAAAATTTTCACCATTTTCAGACATTCTGTTTTCCTGATTGGTTTATAAAATGTGAATAATGTACAGCAAAATTACTCTAGGCGTAATGGTTTTTGACATTTTATGTTCATATTTATTTCACAAAATATTATAGCATATTATTCTCCAATGATTCTTAAACGTACCTCATGATATGATACACTTTACCAATAACAAATTTGTTTATTTATTGGTGAAGACACATTCTCTGGCTATAATGCATTCTTCTATTTTAAAATATGAAATATTAGAAGTTTTAGTTCACGTTTAATCTCTTCTCGTTTAGGGCACAATTTAAAAAATGGCACATTTAACCTCATCCTCCCTACTTTAAGAATGGATGAAATTCAAGTCTGTTAAATAACTATTTCTTTATTATCATGTATTCTCCCTTATTTTACAGAGTTATTTCATCATTAGATGGGGAAAGATATTCCTGTGGACTGCTTTTATTTCCAACTGTGCTCGTTGAATAATTTGACACCCTGCTTGAATCTATACTAAACCCATGGTAGGTATCACTCTGTGAAGCTATCAAGTCATTTCACAATCATAGAATTAATCACAGATAATTATCCAACTAAGCCGTTTTGTTTTCAGCTCACACACACTATTTAGCCTCAGCATTCTTCACCACCGTTGTCTAGGCTTAGGTTGACACTGTCAGTCCTAATCCCTGCTGATTTGTTTACTTATCCAAGACGTCTACTTCTAAGTCAAGCCTGACAAGAATTTAGATCCAGCTCACAGCTAGCGCATAATAAATTAACCCTTCTGCCTGCATGTGTATGTGCCAAAACCTATCCCCTGGATTCAATTCTTGACAGTCTGTTTTGATGCAACATATTTGTCTCGCTTCCACAGGCAGAGCCAGACGTGGATTAAAGCACTGACGGCCCCATCAACACCGAGTGGTTGACGGAGAAGTGCATTGGCGATAAAAATTAGCAAGAATACGGTCATTAAAGTAACCGAAGAGCCACGTTTTAAGGACTATGGACACCTTGTCCCAGAACTCCAGGCTTGAGTGCCAAATCTGTTTCAACTACTTCAGCCAACGGCGCCGACCCAAACTCCTGCACTGCCAGCATACCTGCTGCTGCGAGTGTCTGAGCCAGATGCGGCTCAGCCAGAGAGAGCTTCGCTGTCCTTGGTGTCGTTGTGTGACACAGATCCCTGGCGGACTTTCGGTCTCCCATCTTCCAGACGACCCGGAAGTACTTTCCATTATCAGTCTGTCTCACTCCTCTGAGCACACTCCCATCTTTATACACTTACCCAACAGCGGCTGCTACCTGCTGCCCCTCCCTCTGGACACAGATGAGGCGTTGCTTCCCGGACAACCAGCATGCCGATTTGGCCCTAAAAGCGTTGGGGTGTTAAACATCTCTGATGGCGGGAGCCTCGTGCTGGGGGGCGACACAGGTGAGGAGGGGATGGAGGAGGAGGAGGAGGAAGAGGAGGAGGAAGAGGAGGAGGAAGAGGAGGTGGCAGTTAAGACCACAGCATGGACGGGGGTTTGCACTGTGCTACTGGTGGCATTCATTTTGATCTTTCTGCTGGGTATTGTGTTACATAACATGTCCTGCGTGTCCAAACGCTTCACTATTATTTCCTGCGGATGAGACCGAGTCATCAAATTCACTTGTAAAGGACCAACCAATATGGCTCGGAATCGCTTATGAGATTTCAGATTTGATTGTGATTATGTACATCACATATCTCTGGTGACTAATGTATACGGTAGATGAGCAGAAGGGAATGAAAGAAGTCAAGGGCACAATCTATGCAATTTGGGGTATTTCAAAAGTCTGCGAAAGTCCTGATTCGTTCATTTGTAGGGAATTTGTTAAATTAATGTGCAGAAATGTCATTAAAGTATCTAGTAGTATTGACTCCATGTATTTGCATGTCTTGTATGTACCTGAGGGAAATTAACTTGGTCTCTAATACTACAGTAGAGTTGTGCGTTATCGACATTCTGTAGGAGTTGTGCAGTTTGTCACTGAACACTAAAATTGAGAAATGAATTTACATATTGCTACATAGCTGCACTGCTTTTAAATAATGTTTATTGCTGTGTTTGATTGCTGTATGTCTTAAGGTGTTTCATCAAAGCAGTTTCTTTAAAATGCCACAAATCAAATGGTTTTTATTGGTAACAAGCTATTATTTTTGTTTTTTTTATTAATGGGTTTTGACTTTGCCTTTGATTAAATGAGTGAAAACATCAGTCTTTGATTGGTTTGTGTGATATAATTTATACTTCATTCAAAACAAATGAATATTAATATAATAACTTTTTGACTCTACATGCTGCTTAAAAGGCTGCACAAATACACTATTGTTCATATGGAGCCAGTAAGATTGTTTTGGAAAGAAATTAATACCTTTATTCAGCAAAGATGCAATAAATTGATCAAAATTGACAGAAGACTTTTACATTGATAAAAAAAAAATCTAATGTTCTTTTAAACTCTTTATTCCTCAAAGAATCCTGCCTGTAAAAATATTATAGTTTCCACAAAAATAGTTTTCAACATTGATAATAAGAAATGTTTCTTGAGCAGCAAATCAGCATATTAGAATGATTTATGAAGGATCATGTGACACTGAAGACTGGAAAAGAAAATGTAGCTTTGCCATCACAGGAATAAATTACATATAAAATAGATTAAGATCTGAAACAGTTATTTTAAATTGTACTGTTTTATACAGTTTTTACTGTATTTTTGATCAAATAAATGCAGCCTTAATGGGTTAAAATCTTACTGACCCCAAATTTGTTAACAGTAGTGTGCATCACAGATGCATGTTCCCCAGTTATTAATGAGCAACAATTGGACATTAAATTAGATTTATCTCGTTATAGTTTGTTACTGTTATAATCCTGAATCAATCAATGGTTTTAATTCAATATATGTATATCTAAGTGATAATTTTCTTACACAGTTTCTGAATACCACATTTGTACATTGATATCCAAATGTGAGATGAGCTCTGGCCCAGTGCAGCTCACCAATCTGCATCAAAAGCTGTCAACACCACCCATCAGACTTGATTGATAACAGTATTTTTGCTTTTTTTTACCTGTTGTTCTTGGAATTCTATAAAAATAGCATGCATGCATTTTATCGTTTCACATGTGATGTGGATTAATGCCTTTACAGATTTTGGGAGAAATCACTAAACCAAACTGTATTGAAGACTGACACAAATTATTATGAATGATCAGTTGTTCATCAAGGTCATACAGTAAATACATTCTGCTATGCTTTTAAATTGTGATCGTATAGGCCAAGTAGGATTATGAATAGACCTGATATGATATAAAAAAAAACAAATATGAAAGATAAACATCTTGTTACAAATGACAAGCATATGACAGTACTCACACATTGTACATGTTGTACTCTGACTGATTCAGCTACAGGTGCATAAACTCAAGCATACAGTCATGCGGTCTCCTTGCCAAAACATTTACAGTAGAACACGCTGCACCTTTTCTTTTCCAGAATGACTGTGATGATGCCATTCCACAACAATTAGATAATTCTAGCAAAGTCATTTTATTTATTTATTTTTTGTTACTATTTGTCTTTTAAATGTACATTTTTAAACACTTTTTTTTTAATTTTTAAAAATTACATTTAGAATTAAACTACAAAAAATAGTCACTCCAGTTGCAATGGGGTTTCTAATGCAGCTGAAGGAGTTACTTTTTGACATCTTTCTCTCTCTGGCCTTGACTTTCTCTCTCTATATTTTTTATTTCCTTTTTTTAGGAAGTCATGAAAATGCAGTGGATTTTCCTTGTTCGCTTTTGGAGAAAATTAAAAATAAAAATAATATTTGCTATGATCTATGAAAGCCCATTAATATAGAAGATTATTTCTGCCACATAAGAAAACAAATCATGCTTTGGTAAATCATAATTATATAATAATTGACTTAAGTCAAAATATGACCATTCTTAGTCAAAATCATTGTGTTCTTGTTAGCAATGGATACCTCCAAAGAAACACGTGCAGCCATCATCGCTTTGCATTAAAATGGCCTCACATGCAAGGAAATTGCTACAAAGAATATTGCACCTGAAAGAACCATTTACCGGATCATCAAGAACTTCAAGGAGAGAGGTTCGACTGCAGTGAAGAAGCCTTTAGGACGTCCCAGAGTGTCCAGCAAGTGCCAGGACCGTCTCCTCCTGAGGAGTCAGCTACGGAATCATGTCAGTGCAGAGCTTGCTCAGGAATGGCAGCAGGTTGGTGTGAGAGCATTTGCACACACAGTGAGGCCAAGACTTTTGGACAACGGCCTGGTGTCAAGAAGGGCAGCGAAGAAGCCACTTCTCTCCAAGAAAAAACGTCAAGGACAGACTCAAATTCTGCAGGAAGTACAAGGATTGGACAGCAGAAGACTGGTGCAAAGTTATTTTCTCTGATGAAGCTCCCTTCTGACTGTTTGGGACATCTGGAAAAACGATTGCTCGGAGAAGAAAAGGTGAACGCTTCCACACTGTAAAAAAAAAAATCCAACTTACGAAAAAGTACTAACCAATGTAAAAAAAAGTAGCCTGAACAAATAATTGTTAGTAGAAGAGTAAATTTATTTTTATTTTTTGTGAACTTAAAAAAAATACTCAACACTAACAAAAGTTGTTTTGTTTACCTTACTTCGATACTCAAGTACTTGTTCACAACATCCAAATGTTCTCCCAACTTTTCAAATTGACTGATCTGAACAAACAATTTTATTGCACAAGTTCCCAGCATGCATTGCAGCTTGAAAAAGTTAATTACTAAAATATTATCATCGTTTTAAACTTTACTGGCTTAATTTATGCTGCTGCTGCTTTTGTCATTGTCAGTTAGCTGTCATGTGGATCAGAGTTCATATTTTTACTGATTTAAAATGTTGATCCTCACCATGGTTGAGAATCATGTGCTGAGGTACTGTACATGTGCATCTCATTGCAACTTGTTTAATACATTCAACTTTGCATAAATATTTGCCTTTAGTATTAGAAGACAAATACTATCTGTAATATGTAGAAGGCTTTGAAAATAAACCTACATCTCAAAGAAAGATGATTGATTAAAGGGGTCATATGATGCGATTTCAAGTTTTCCTTTCTCTTTGGAGTGTTACAAGCTGATTGTGCATAGATAAGATCCCTGAAGTTGCAAAGACTAAAGTCTCAAAACCAAAGAGATATTCTTTATCATAGTTAAGACTCTGCCACACCCCTCTAAAACGGCTCGTTCTAACACGCCCCCACATATCTACCTCACTGTGGAAATATTAGCATAATGCCGCCCAAATGTGCACGCAAAGAAAGAAGGCGTGGTTTCAGTAACCGCAGTTAGTGTTGAAGCAGCCATGTCAGGGAGAAGCTGTGTGTTTCTAGGCGAAAGCAAAAGCACTTTATTTGGCCTTCCAAAGGAAGGTGTATTTAGGAATCTTTAAGATGACTTACAACAGAACAGCAATGCATTTTATGGACAACCGTTTCGTGAACCTAGGAGAGGAGGTAATTCTGACTTTGCTATGACAATCTGGCGCTTCTGAATCAGCTACTGTTTTGTTATTAGTTTAAGTATTTGCTATTGACTGTTCAAATGCGGAGTTTTGCACAACGTGTGTGTGAGCGAGAGAGAGAGAGATAGAGATCGAGAGAGAGAGAGGGGGTCACATCACAGTGGAGTCCGCTGTCTTAACCGTGGCTTGTGTACTGCAAACACATACCAGCTTCATCACTGTGTCTGTCACGAGACTCTGTTCCCCTTTCGGGCTCGGTCTTTACATTTATTTTGAAAGATGAAGCTTGCGATTATGGTAAGGGGCGTTACATTTCCGATGAGTGCTTGCGGTGTTCGGCCAATCACAATGCACTGGGTCAGCTGGCCAATCAGAGCAGACTGCGCTTGTCGGAAGGAGGGACTTTGTAGAAAACGAAGCGTTTGAGAGAGGCGGGGCATAGAGGACCTACAATAAATGTACAGTATTTGAAAAATGTGTTTTTTGAACATTAAAGCATGTCAACATATTCTGTTACACCATATACACAAAACAATGATCTTTTAAAAAGCATCATATGACCCCTTTAAAAAAAATTAATAAAAATATTAGCATTGCTAAATGCTAAAATCTTTGGTTGTTCTAACAGATCTTTTAACACTCAGTAGACCAACTTTTATTCATTAGATGAACTTTGATGAACTTTTTAGTGCAGGAGTCCTGTGTTGTGCCAACAGTGAAGCATCCCGAGACCATTCATGTGTGGAGTTGCTTTTAACCAAGGGAGTGGGCTCTCATAATTCTGCCCAAAAGCACTGCCATGAATAAAGAATGGTATCAAAACGTCCTGCAAGAGCGACTTCTTCCAACAATCCATGAGCAATTTGGTCATGATTTGTGCATTTTCCAGCATTATGGAGTACCATGTCACAAAGCAAGAGTGATAAAGAAGTGGCTCGAAGATCATTACATTGAAATTTTGGATCTGTGGCCAGGCAACTCCCCGGATCTCAATCCCATACAGAACCTGTGGTCAGTCCTCAAAAGGCGAGTGGACAAGCAGAAGCCCACAAATTTTGATCAACTCCGAGAACTAATAAGGCAAGAATAGATCGCCATCAGTCAGGATTTGGTCCAGAAGCTAATATCCAGCATGCCAGAGCGAATTGCAGAGGTAATGAAGAACTGTATGCGTGTATATATATATATATATATATTTTTTTTTTTTTTGCCAATAAAAGCCTTTATAACTTATGATATGCTTATCATTGTTTTTCAGTATACCATAAAAACATGTGGTAAAATAATCTACAAATACTGAAGCAGCAAACTTTGCAAAACACAAAATTTGTCACTGCCAAAACTTTTGGCCTTGACGGTGTATATATTTATCATAATTGTGATTGTTGCATGTCATGACGGTCTCTCATTTAGCAATTTCAGCTTTATGTAATTATGATTTACCAAACCATTATTTTTGTGGAAATGGACTTCCATTTGTGCCTCCACCCTGCTACAGTTCACTTCTACATTTCAAACCTGGAAATGTAAAAACACAAAAATAAAAACGGGTAATTGTCTGCCAAAGTACATTTTGTATTTTCTTGCGGACATTTGCAAAATACAGGTAAGTGTAACAATTAGTCCACTGAAGGCAAGTGCAGTG